CGCAGATCACGCTGTTCGAGGAACGGGGGAAAAAACCGCAGCAAGCTAGCTAGAACTGCATCTTCAATCCGAGGCGCGCAATTCTGCTTCATTGCTTGTTGGGTTTCATTTTTATCCCCTCTCCACCCGCACTGATTCAACGCGGTTTTGGGGATATTGCCTGATGAACACAGATGACATATTAAAGGCAATCCAGTAGTGGAATGTGGGGTTATATGCCTCTTCTGTTCCTGCCCCATCTCTCATAATTCTCTCCTGTACTCCCTGATTTATCAGATGGACAAGATCGAAGAGACTAAAGATGCAGGAAACAGCTCCCTCTCTGTTAGGATTTATTCTTTGGGGAAAATACTTTTAAGTGTGTAGCAGTTCCTGGAGAGACATCCCTAGAGTAAAGGCATATTTGGAAACAAAAAAAAAGGAGTAGGCTGCAGTGCTATTGTGAATCTTACAGAATCCTTGACACATCCATCCCTCAACACATATTCAAACTGGCTTTCTCCCCAGATACACGGTTTTCCATATTCTCTATTCTCACACATGATTGGTCAATGGCAGAAAGGAGCATGACACACAAAAGGTGCTGCAGAACCAGGAAGACATTATTTAATTGAAACAAAAGTTTTATTACCAAACTAGTTTGTATAAAGCACAGTTATACATGATGACCTTTGTCAGTTGGTAATAAAACAGCATGAAAAGGCAGTGGTAAAAGAGCCCCCCCACCCCTCCTTTTTATTTTTCTTCTTTCTTCAAAAGGCAGCAGCTTGTATAATAAATAGCTACTATTTTGCGTTTGGACAATAGCTGCATAAAGTTTGTTCACTCTGAACATTGTTTAATAACATTATTAATACATTAGCAAAGTTTCTATAAAAAAGTAAGACACGTTGGTGCTAAAGTACCTCTGGAGGCATTTCCAAGTCCTTTACAAAACCACATAACAAAAACATGGCAGTTGTAAGGTTGCATTGACTACTAATCTAGATATGAAGAGGTAATAAGCATTACATATTTTTTTAAAAAAGTTATCAAGATATACACATTTTAAAACATTTTGTACAAAAAGTTTATAAATTTCTCTGTCTCTTATATACAAAAATAGCTTAATATATCCCCCAAATTGGTTAGGATTGATACAAATAGATTTTTAATATATATAATAAAAAGTTCACAAGAAAAAATGGAAGCATTTTGTGGTGGGAATGGCAGTGGGAAAGCAGACAAAGGGGAGAGGGAGATATTTCAGAGGATTCTTTGAATTCAGCATAGTTTTGATTTGCAAAATCTCCACAATAATAGGCAACTAGGGTGGCAATGCTTTTCACGTAGACCTAAGAGAAGGTCTCACTAAATTTAATAAGTGTGGATACAGGAAATCTACACAGCTGCAATCCTAAGGTCAATTACTAGGAAATAAGTCCTATTGTATACTGTTGGACTTACATCTGAGTAAAAATGTTTGAGATTGCACTGCATGTTCAGGAGCATTATCCAGTAGGTAAAACAGTCTTTCCAAAGGGCCAATACTGCATTCATATCAGCAGAAAGGGAAGCTCATTGCTCTATTGAAGACTGGTATGGAACAGGTAGTGCTGTTTTTAAAGTTTTGGGATAGACAATAGACTGAGAGATATCCCACCATGTCATGCGCCCCTTCTTGTGTCTATGACCATAGTGTAGACTGAATCTGTGCATGTTTACTTGGATGTAAGTCACACCAGGCAATATAAGGCAAACCTACATACACTTATCTGAATGTAGGAAGTCTCATGAAACATACTGGGTCTTATTTCCAAGTAAACACTAATAGGGGCTGCATGTCATGTTGAACAGCCTGGAGTGCAAAGGCAGAATCTGGGAGTGCTTCAGGTTTCTTGGAGAAAAAGTCCAACTCCTTCTGTGCTTCACTGTCTTCGTTTCCTTTTCCCTTCCCATAATGAGAAGGGAAAAGCGGCAGTAAGATGTATCCATTTTTCAACAAATCCTAGTAAATGAGAGAGAAAAGAGGAGAAAGGTCAGTGTCAAGGCTTAGTCCAATGGGAGTAACTTCCAGACCCACTTTCAAGTACTTTTAGATCACATACTAGATTGAATTATCTGGATTTAACTCAAATACATGTAGATTTTTCAGGACCGTGATGGAACTCCCACTGACTTCAGTGGGGCCTGCTTCAAAATGATGCATCTACCCTAAATACAGTTATGCCCCTATCACATGTTTATTTAACTCGGAGAGAAGCTTCACAATGTTGAGTGGGACTTACTTCTAGGAAAGTGTTCATAAAAACCAAAGCCTTTGACTGAAACCCTAAACACAATATGGAGAAAGTGTACTGGAACACACAGGGTCTTCTTTGTAAACCTCCATTGTCTTATACAGTGGACCCTTGACTTACAGACGGCTTGACTTACAGACTTTTTGAGGTACAGACTTCTCTGGCTGCAAAATTTAGGTTTGACTTGCAGACTGAGATTTGACTTACAGACCAGAAAAAAACCAAAATCGAACAAAAACGGCCTGTTACTGGATTAATCGGTTTTCAATGCACTGTAGGTCAAAGGAGACTTGACTTACAGATTTTTTGACTTGAGAACCGCCTTCCAATACGGATTAAGTTCTCAAGTCAAGACCCCACTGTAGTACACGTAATAATTCATTTCATTAGTTACTGTATGTGTGGTTTTCTTTCACATAGACCTCCAGATGGTGTGCATAGGTTTATCTAACACTTACAGCACTTGTGTTAACTTGTGCAGAACTGACATTCAGGATACCAAACACATCTGGAAATCTCAGCCACAGTAGAGTTTTATGTAATAAGGCCTATCAGTTGGAAGATCTGCTGAACTCGAAGGCCTGCTGAAATCAATGCAACTTCTAAATGGTGGGCTTTGGGAGATTAAAATATCACTAGCAGAAATAAAGGTGTGCTGGCTTATGGTTTATAATATTTTCTCCATTGTTTTCTAGTGTTTTATGGGAGTTACATTGTCGTGAGGTGTGGAGTGTGAGGGGAAAGGGGAAACCAATAAAATGCATGAAATAAATTTAAATTTGAGCTGGTTTGGCTCCAATCTTTTAGCCAGACCAAATTCATTGAGATCTTTGATCGTTGCGGTGATCCAATATTTAGGCCTACTTTGGGCAACATGTTTTGCTGACTGCAGAAGCCCAGTCTTGAGTACCAGGTCATATAATTGACAGCAGCAATGTTTTCCTAATCCAATCCAATCCACCCTCTGGAGCGTTTGGTGGTTTCTAGCAACTCCATCATAGAAGAAGTGGCAGTCCATGCCTAGTAGTAGCTGTCACCTCCCCTAAACTGGCGCTCAGACACACTCCAGTGATCTTGAAGCCAGAGACCTAGTGTCTTTCCCTATCAGTAGGTCAGAGGATTCCAACCTGAGAATTCAGCTCACTGTCATTCCAATCAAATGGAAGATCAGCCATTCCCTTCCTTGGAATGTAGCTCCCCCTGGTCTTAATTGATTTTATTGGGTGGGAATCCATGCCCCCATAACTAGATTTGAACACATTCTCCCTTCCCTGCCCAAATGAATGAATGACTGTAGGATTCTCGGGGCAGAGACCTTTAAACGTTGCTTTCACAGCTTGCTGTCTCTCCCGGTCAGGAAGGTACAAGCGCAGCCCATCTTTTCTTTCCATGGCCTCCGAGGCCGCTAACTCAGCCCTAACACGATCCCTCCTCCACCCGTGCCATGGCACCCCCACCCCAGGCGCAAGCTAAGCCAAACCCACCTGCTGCCAAGTCCCAGCCAAGAGGGCCACCCCGGGCCTCTCAGAACCAGTTGGTGAAGTCCAGGAGCTCTTGCTCTTCCGGGCTGAGGGGATCGTAGGATCCTTCGTCCGAGGAGTAGGAGGAGACAGGCGAGCCTGCCATGGAGTTCATGTCGTTGGGGTAGTTGGGGGAGATGGTGGGCGAGAGGACGCCCGCCTGGAAGGCGGCGCTGACGGCGTCGTGCTCGTCCAGGAGCTGCTGGAGGGCTCGGATGTACTCGACGGCGGAGCGGAGGGTCTCCACCTTGCTCATCTTCTTGTTGGCGGCGCCGTTGGGGACGTGCTCGCGCAGCGTGGCGAAGCCCAGGTTGACCAACTTGACGCGGTTCCTCTCCCGCTCGTTCCGCCGCGCCACCGCCGCCGGCTGCTGCTGCGGGAGGCTGTAGCCGAAGCCGCTGAA